CCAACAATATTCTAATGAATACATTAAATAAAAGCAAACGGTTCGGGGAAGGACCCAAAAAAGAAATTAGACAACAGACAGATAAAACTGCCCCTGGTATCTTCCACTAAACAAAAAGATAATTTTGGAAATTTTTACACCTGCTTAATTTTCTTTACTTTAGAAAATTTTAAATCTTTTTTGTAAATTTAACATATTATTTAATCAAGAAACTTCTAGCAACTTGATCAAATGATTCTCTTTCAAGCTTTGGAGGCACAGGCATCATCTGCTCAGACAGTTCAGTTCAGGAATAGCATGCCTACCTTTAAAAACTCTTGGCAAACAATCGCATTGTCGAACAACTGTTAGCTGGGGGTGGATGAAATTAGGGAGCAGGATCCAAGTGAATGACTATTCCCTGTGCATGTCCTATTCTAAACATGGGACATGTGGGTTCCCTTAAAAGCCATGGAATTTATAAGTAAAGCCGGTTCGAAACTACCAGCCGCTCCGCGGGAGAAAGATGAGGCTTTCTACTCCCGTAAAGATTTACACCCTCGGAAACCCTGTACAGGGTCGCTACGGGTCGGAACCGACTCAACGGCACTTAACAACAACAACAACAACAGTCATTTGCTACACTAAGGCACCCCAATTTTTCTAATTCATAAAAAAACTTTTTTTTAAAATGTAGGCAATCACAGGGGGTTAATATTTAACTTTTTATTAAGAAACTAAAGCAAAGTAACAATTTCAAAATAATCAAAATACAGTATTCTAATTTGAAACGAATATGAAATCTATACCAAGAACTAAAAACCCGAGTTTACCAATATTTACGAATAAAGGGGAATGGCTGAAATGCATTCACAATAATTATACTTTTATGCAAATAACACGCTTATTAAGGTTTTTGCAAGCCATGTAACCCCCTCGCTTGGTAAGTTTCCTGTGCACTAAATGAGCATTGTACAAGGGCACTTCAAAAAGTTCGTGGAGAAACAAATGAGAATGGAAAATTTCCTCGGATTTTCTGGACTCCCTTGTGTGTGTGTGTTATATGGTGAAAACATTGTATTTCTTTGTTACTAGTTTCAGATTTATATCCCTTTCTTTGCTGCTTCCTTTGGACTAGGACACAGAATTTCTTCATTTGTCTTTTGCTACTACTCTGTAACCTTAGGAGTGTTTTTCTTCCTACATGGCTCTTTATTTGTTCCTTCAGCAGATATGTGAGCATTGCCTATTGGATTTAGATGTTATGGGGAACAAAGAACAGTCTGTCCTAAAATGCTTAGGAGTAATAAGACACCAATAAATAAGAAATGAAAATAATTTTATATAGTATGAGAAGTATAGATAAAATATAAGATAGGAAAATCTTAAAGAAAGGAGGGGTTACATTCAACTAAAAAAATGAGGAATGCTCTATGAATACAGCATCTGAACTGGGTGTAAATCTAATAAATCTAATAAATTGGGTGTGAATCTAATAAAGGCTCCAAAGTGGTCCTGATTATAGTGGTCTCTATTTCTGGAAAGTAATCTTTGCCAACACTAATCTTTAAAAGCAAGAGAAAGGTGCGGTTTTCTGCTCCTGAAAAGCTTTATAGCCTTGGAAACTCTATTCAGGGTAGCTATGAGTCAGAACTGACTTGACGGCACTTAACAACAACAATCCTTAAAAGCCCTTAGTTTCTCTCTTTGTAAAATGCTTGTTTCTTAAAATGATCAATAAAATATTAGTATTAGTCTATATAAAGTAGTACTTTGGGAACTTAATAGCGTCTATATAATTTAGAGTGCTGTTAGTTTTTAAACTCTCCCCAGTCAAATCATATCCAGAAGGCAGAAGACCTTTTGAACGAACCATGACTTGACATATTCAACCAGGCAAAGCATACTTATTTTAGGTGCTTGCCCAAATCGGTGTCTAAACTTATTTGACTAAAAATGAGGGGCATGAAATGGCTTAACATTCAAAAGAGAATGAAAAAATAATGATAACTATGAAATGATATTAGCCACAGAATTCCTTGTATGAAAAGTTTAATGAATGAGCCATTGACCATTACAGACTTCAAGTCTTTAACATTTCTTCTTTCCTATGTAAAACCAGGTAATTCAAACAGCCTGACTCAAGTATGACAGAACATATTATAATCAGAGGCATAGTAATGTTTGCTTCCACATCTGCATGCTTCACAAAAGTTAAGAACCAAAAAGAGTGCTCCCAGTTTCCCATGTCAACAAGGCAAATTCAAATACACATTTCTCCTGATAATAATTTCAATTTAAATACAACATATAGTTGTCTTTCAATAGCACATTTATCCACAGTGCAATAAGTGCTTTCCCATTGTTTCCTCCTTTAACCTCAATATCCTTGTGAGGTAGTAAAGGGAGGGAGCAAGGATGTTTATCTATTTTGCTGAGGCAAAAATCTAAGGTGAATTGCAGATCAGTGGTTCTCAACCTTGGCAGCATACTGAACTTGCCTAGGGAAGTTTAAAAATTGCCTGATGACCAGGTCACATCCCAGACCAACAACTCAAAATCTCAGGGTATGGAATTCAAGCATCAATATTTTTTTTAAAATGCACATGACTCCAAAGTACCACTAAGGTTCAGAAGCATGGGCTTCGATGATTTATACTTAGTCTTCAGGTGCAACTGTCTTCGACCTAAGCACTGTACCAGCACCAACAAAAAAGAGATTGCATTTCCTTGAACATTCTAGCAGTTTAATATTATGCACAGCTAGTATTGGTCTTTAGTAATAAATTATTTTATCAGGTTAAGAAAGAAGGCTCTTCACTCCCCTTTTGCTCATCCTATAACCCTCTGCTTTATAAAGTTCATAAACTTTATACATTTTGCAAAAGGGAAAGAAGAGTATTTACTCTTTAAGAATGGCCTGTTGGATCAGTAAGCAGTAACATGTGCTTTTGTTTCCCATCTTTGCTGCAGATGAACATTTACCAATAAGACAAATCAGAAGCTATAAATAAAACTCTCTACCCAAGCTCCTAGAGTTAGCAATAGTGTAACCTGAAAAATAAACAAGTATTTAGAAGACTTTATCATTTTCTAACTTGCCAATCTTCATCCTGAATCAGTTCTCTTCTTTAAACAAATTTAAATTTTTTGCCAAATTAAACTATTTTATCATCAAGAAAAAACAATTTCTGTAGTAGCTAGATTCTCTAATACATTTAACAAAGAATTTCATTCTAGATTTCTTCTTGACATGGATAGTCAAAAAAAAATACTTTGTTTTAAACAAATTTCACCTTTAAGAACATACCAAGTACACAATAAAACTTGTAAACCTCTTAGGTGACAAGAATTATCTTTGTTCTATGGCTGAAACCCCCTGCTTCATAGGAGTATTGACAATCTTTACTTTCAAAGAGCAACCCCCAAACCCCAGCCAGCTGCTTGCTGTCCCTAACTTTATTAGATTTAAAACAAAATACACATATCGTAATAACATAAAAAGCACAAAGAATCCACTTGTCTTAGTCGATTCTTATTATAAAGATGTATCTGAAACCATACAATATATACTTTCAGACAGAAAGATGCCTTTTCTCTTCTGAAAAAGGAACTCTCAACTCATGTGTGTTGGATGATGATTTCTAAAGAGTAATTTTTAGTGCAATGAAATTAACCAGTCAGAAATTCAGAACAGGAATTAATGTTAAGATCTTGTACAATGAAACCTTCAAAATATTGCCAACCTGAAGTTTTTTAGCACAAGGTGTTATATATTTTAAGTCCCATGGGGGCAATTGTCTATAATGAGATTAAGAACATTCTTAACCTGGATTCAGGTTGCCACAGCTTCAGGTAGGTGAGTAAACAGTTTCTTGATAGCCCCACTGAAGGATTTGGGGCTTTGATTGTTGCATGATGTAAACAATATGAAATTAATAAAAAAAAACTTTTTAAATATTATCTACTGCATTATATAGTTATAAAATAAAAGGACAATTAATCAACTCATTTCCAAGGCCTAAGACTAATATCTGTGGCCTAAAAGAGCAAATGGCAATGTTCTGTGTTGTGCTGAGATAGTTTTCTCAGCAGGCCAAAAATAAAACCAGATACTAAAAGAAGCACATTACCATTATGTTTAAATCATCCTTACTGATACATGTATAATTAGAAATAGATTTGTCTTCCCTCAACCTTTAGCCAGAAGATTAAGGGATCTTTATAATAATTTTGATTGTTAAAAAAAATAACAACAAAATGCAATCTGTAATAACTATGGAAACCATAAGCCAAATACAAAATGAGCCAATTCAACACATCTCTTTTTAAAATCTTCTCCTTTGTCTCTGTCCCCAAATATTATTCTAATTTTGTACCATGTAGTGGTTTTTAAGAAAATGAACTAGAACAAAGCAACCCCTTTGTTCTTTTTGTAATATAGTTTTTTTTACAGACATATTGTATATACAACTTTTAAAATACCTGCACAATTTTATATCTCACTGTAAGAGAAGTGCAGTCCAGGCAGACCATGCTTCTCAATATATTAAAAATAGTAAATAAAACCTAACCAGCTTCATACTCTTTTAATAACCAAGCTGGCTGGAAAAAAGGGATTGGAGAAAGAACAGGCAGTTGTAAAATGGGATCAGTCTTTCTTCACAGACACACTACTTAAAAACCTTGCTATTTCCTTATCTTATCCCTTTGATGGCATCTCTAAAATCTCACCTTAAAAGTTGGAAATGACACATTGCTAACTTAGAGGCAAAATCTGTTGCAACATGCATATGTCAACTGCCCACTCAACCAACTGCAACCCTGAGGATTTTTCTGGCCTGGTAAAGAGAAGAACCACTAAAATAATCACTGCTGTAGAGTTGCTGCTCCAGTTTACAATGTCGTGTGGTTTTCAGGATGTTTCTTGAACATGCATGTATGACACTGTCACTTCATGATTCTACTTTCCACAAGTAGATCTCTCCTCCGCTCAGTCTTTCATCCCAATAAAGTCACTGTCATCCATCCAAAGGTTTTCCAAGGTAAACCAAAGTCACTTCGGTGTTGCCGTACACAGCAGACACTGCTGGATACAAGCAGGCCTTTGGAAGTCCTCTAAAGGCAACCCCCAGGAACTCATATCCACGTTCAAAAGCTAAAGTCTTATCTTCCATGTCCAAGATGACTCGAATTCTTTCTCCTATCTGCAAACAGACATTAAAATAAGTACGGTTAGAAGAAAAGTCACCAAGGGCATAGCTACAAGAAATATAACATGAATCAAAAAGGTGAACACAGGGAATACATTGTAAGACCGCCAGTGGATGCCAGAAACTGCTGATAGTACCGTATACTAAGTTTTTTCCTACATACATATATACGACAGGCACTCAGGATGCTCCGGGCAGGCAGTGTTAACCCACTGGACACTGGCAGGGTGCAGTGCAGATCACCCACCTGTGTTTTCCAGGCTTTCACCCAGTGGAGGAGGAAGCTGGTTCTGGGATGCAGTGGAATAGCCTGAGATTTCATCATGCTACTCAGAACAGTGCACAATTTAAATATTTTCGAACCATAGTTGACCACAGGTAACTGAAACTGCAGGAAGCGAAACCGCAGATAAGGAGAGACTAGTAATTTTCAACATTAACAACATATATCCTGAAAACAGAATGCATAGATCCTAAAAGTTATCCAGAGCAACTCAAAAGGGAAGACTTCTGGCCAGGGAGAAAATCCAGAAAAAAGAACATACTTCAACTTCATCAACAATGCTTATTTAGTGGGTTTTTTTGTTGTTGTTTTTAAACTTAAGACTTACACGTAATCAACACTTAATACTGAAATTTAAATACTCCCCCTAGAAAGCCCCTGATTCTATTTATGCTTTGTTTAAAGACTGTTCTTAAGAAGGCCACTACTGAAATCCATAATTTGGTATGCTGTTCTCATTAAGTGCCTTCGAGTTGGTTTCAACTTATAGTGAGGCTGTACATCTTTTTGGGAAATGAAACAAAGTATATGATTTATTGAATGTAAAATTGATGGTCTGTTCTGTAAACCTTCACTCTATTCACAATAAAAAGGTTAAAGGAGGGGGAAAATGTTTACAGAAGTAGAAAGTCTCATCTTTCTCCCATGGAGCAGCTGGTTGGCTCGAATCACCGATCTTGTGGTTCTCAGTCTAGTGCTTACCCTACAGAGCCATTATGTTCCCTAATTTTGCATATTTCCCCCAAAATAGGTTATCTTAATAACCTGCTCAAATTGCTGTAATAAAACATTTATATAGTCAATAAATTTCACAAAGCACTTTCATATATGAGAGTACATAATCAGAATAGCCAAATCTGACAAAGGATTCTAAAGATACAGACTAGACTTATTAAGAAGTTTTTTAAGGTTCACTGCTCTGAAACAGCGGTCACTAAAACAGCAACAATGATTGTTAAACTAGACTGGGAGCACAATGTATCTAGTTGGTTTTTTAGCGTAGTGGTTACGAATCGGGCTGTGAACCACAAGGTCAGCAGTTCGAAACTACCAGCTGCTCCGTGGGAGAAAGATGAGGTGTTCTGCTCCCATAAATATTAACATCCTCGGAAACCTTGTACAGGGTCGTTATGAGTCGGAACCGACTCCACGGCACATAACAACAACAGTTGGAAAGTAAGTGGGAAAATGTTGTTGTTACTGTGCTGCTGAGTCAGTTCCAACTCAGAGACCCAATACACAACAGAACAAAACACTGCCCAGTTCTGCGCCATCCTCACAACTGCTGTTACGTTCTGAGTCCCGTTGGTGTAGCCACTATGCATCCATCTTGTTGAGGGTCTTCTTTCTACTTTACCAAGCAGGATGTCCTTCTCCATGGACTTGTCTTCCCTGATTAACATGTCCAAAGTATACAAAATAACACAAAATGAAGTCATACCATCCTTAATCCAAGGATAATTTCTGTCTATTTATGTCAAGATAGATTGGTTCATTCTTCTGGCAATCCAAACTATATACTATATTTTTCATTAGCACCAGAAGGAACAGGGAAAGGAATCATTCTAACAGCAACCCTGGGCAGGTACCTAAAAAGGCTCATGTATTGATATAGTCTGAGGCCGAATGTTACCATCCTGATCCTGATAACTCCTGTTGTCCTCTTTTCTCTTTCTTCAGTGTGGTGCTATTCACCAATCATTGCCAACATCCACTTTGTTCTCCCCTTTAGCAAGTCACAGATGGATCAGCACCCCATTTATAGACCTAAGGATCCCCATGCCATTACTACAGTCACTGCAACTATTACATAAGCAACACCAAAAAGAAAGAAAGAGAGAGAAAGAAAGAGAGAAAGAGGGAGGGAGGGAGGGAGGAAGGAAGGAAGGAAGGAAGGAAGTCTTTGGGGGTGATTTTTAAATTTATATTACCAAATTCAAGTCTCACGGTAATCCTAGGAGTTATCCATATTTTACAGAAAATAAAATTGAGAAGAAAGAACCACTCCTGGTGAAATTTTCAAGTTTGCTCCACCTCTGACTAGCACACGGTACACAAAGAAGCATGGGAGTAGAAAGCATAAGTTTTACTAGCTTCAGGTGTTAATGGGGAAAAAGTTGGAGATGGCAGAGCAACTGAAAACTTAAGAGGAACTCCAGAAGCAAAAGAATCACAGAGAAGAAGGGTATCAAAACCTGAGACAAAAATCCGTCCAAATCTTTGTCTTCCCACTGTATTACACAGGGGGCACACCAGGCTGAAAAAGTAGCAGCTCAAGTGAAGAAACATTAAGGGCTGCAAACCATGGGGGGGAGAGAGCTTACAGCTTGAGTCCTGGCAAGTTAACTGCCTATAAAAATAAGAAAGCCAATACACTTCAGAAAATTAAATGTTTCTAAAGAAACAAAACATTCTAGAGTCACTACTACATAAAATATACAATGTTCAATTATCAACAAAAAATTATTAGATCTGAAAAGAAACAGGAAAATGTGATCCACAGTCAGGGAGGGGAAAGTAGTCAGAAACTGGCTTCAAGTGGGCCTAGACATTGGATTTGGCAGGCAGACTTCCAAGCAACTATTATAAATAATGAAAAATGTAGGATTAACAAGCTGACAGGGAATCTTAACAGAGAAATGAAAGCTGTAGAAAAGATCCAAATGACAATTCTAGAGCTGGAGAGTATAATAACCAAAAATCACTACAGCAGCTCAATAGCAGAGTTGAAATAACAGAAGAATCTATTAACTTCCAGACAGAACCTTTCCTCCTGCCTAGTTTCTCTTAGTCTGGAAGCTCAGATGAAAACTGTCCACTATGGGTGACCCTGCTGGTATTTAAAATACTGGTGGCATAGCTTCCAGCCTTACAGCAACACATAAAGCCATCACAGTATGACAAACTGACAGATGAGTAGTGGTTTAGAGAACATACTTTGTATGATTTCAGCAACCCTGGGCAGATCATAGAAAGGAAAAAAGATTGGCAAAAAATTAAAACATAGCTTCGGAGGCACTGACACAAGGACAGTATCAAGCAGTCTAGAAATTACAGTAAATAAATGTAAATAGACTGAACACTCCACTCAAAAGTCAGAAATTGTGAGACTGGATTGGATAAAACGCAACATATAGACAACAGCAGACACTGTATGCTGGCTAAGAGATCCATTTTAAATACAAAAGCAGACTAAAAGTAAAAGGATGGGAAAATATTTTACTCTCCAAGTTAATAGTAAGCATGAGAAAGCTGGAGTGACTATTAATATCAGAAAAATATACTTAACAAGGAACATTACTACATTTTACAATGGTCAGAGTAAATTAGGTAAGGAAATATAACATTTATAAATGGATATGCACCAAATAATAGAGCTCCAAAATACATGACACATCAAAACTGAAAGGAGAACTAGACAAATTAACAATTATAATTATAGATTTCAATACTCCTCTCAGTAAATGATAGAAAAGTCAGTAAGAAAACAGACAACTTGACCACTCTCAACCAATTTGACCGGATTATCATTTATAGAATATTCCACTGAACAACAGAATACACCTTCTTTTCAAACACATATGAAATATTCACCAAGAAAGAACATATGCTGTGAATCAAACAAGTCTCAATAAATTTAAAAGTACTGAAATCATACAAAGTATGTTCTCTAAACCACTACTCATCTGTCAGTTTGTCATATTGTGATGGCTTTATGTGTTGCTGTAAGGCTGGAAGCTATGCCACCAGTATTTTAAATACCAGCAGGGTCACCCATAGTGGACAGTTTTCATCTGAGCTTCCAGACTAAGAGAAACGAGGCAGGAGGAAAGGTTCTGAATGGTTGTTGTTGTTACGTGCCATCGAGTCGGTATCGATACATAGGGACCTTATGCACAGCAGAATGAAACAATGCCAATCCTGGGCCAACCTCACTATTGTTGCCATGCTTGAGTCCATCGATCCTGCTACTTGGTCAATCCATCTCGTTGGGGGTCTTCCTCTTTTTCTCTGACCCTCCACCTTACCAAACATGATATTCTTCTCCAGTGACTGGTCCCTCCTGACAATATGTCCAAAGTATGAGTGATGAAGTTTGGCCATCTTGGCCTCTAAGGAGCACTCTGTCTGCACTTTCAAAGGCATCAATTCTTCTACGGTCTTCCTTCTTCACTGTCCAGCTTTCACATGCATATGAGGTTATTGAAAATACCATGGCTTGGGTCAGGCGCACCTTAGTCCTCAAGCTGACATCTTTGCTCTTCACCACTTTAAAAAGGTCTTGTGCATCAGATTTGCCTAATGTAATACATTGTCTGATCTCTTGACTGCTGCTTCCGTGAGTGTCAATAGTTGATCCAATAAGAATGAAGTTCTTGACAACTTCAATCTTTTCTCTGTTGATAAGAATGTTGTTTATTGGTCCAGTGGTGAGGATTTTTGTTTTCTTTACATTGAGATGCAATCCATATCGAAGGCTGTGCTCTTTGATCTTCATCAGTAAATGTTTTAAGTCCTCTTCACTTTCAGCAAGCAGGGTTGTATCATTTGCATATCTCAGGTTGTTAATGAGTCTTCCTCCAATCCCGATGCCATGTTTTTCTTCATATAACCCAGCTTCTCGGATTATTTGCTCAGCATACAGGTTGAATAAGTATGGTGAAAGAATACAGCCCTGTTGCACACCTTTCTTAATTTTAAAACATTCAGTGTTCCCATGTTCTGTTCGAAGAACTGCCTCTTGGTCCAGGTACAGATTCCTCATGAGCACAGCTAAGTGTTCCAGAATACTCATACTTTGCAATGTTGTCCATAGCTTTTCATGATTAAAAGCCTTTGTGTAGTCAATAAGGCACAGGTAAACATCTTTCTGATATTCTCTGCTTTCAGCCAAGATCCATCACACATCAACAATGATATCCCTCAATCCACGGCCTCTTCTGAATCCAGCTTGAACCTCTGAAAGTTCTCTGTCAATGTATGATTGTAGCCATTTCTGTAATACCTTTAGCAAAAATTTACTTGCATGAGATATTAAAGAGATTATCCAATGATTTCCACATTCCGTTGGGTCACCTCTATTTGGAATGCACACAAATCTCTTCCAATCAGTCAGATAGTTGTCTTCCAAATTTCTTGGCAGAGATGAGTGAGTGCCTCCTGTGCCGCCTCACTTTCTTGAAAAATTTCAATTTTTATTCCATCAATTCCTGGTGCCTAGTTCTTTGCCAATTCCTTCAATGTACCTTGGACTTCCTCCCTAAGTATCATTGGCTCTTGACCATATGCTACCTCTTAAAACGGTTGACTGAATGTTCAACTAAAAATCTTATGAATAGCAGCAGAACACTGACTGATACAGCACTGGAAGGTGAGCCCCTCAGGTTGGAAGGCACTCAAAATACAACTGGGAAGAGCTGCCTCCTCAAAGCAGAGATGATCTTAATGACTTGGATAGAGGGAAGTTTTCAAGACCTTTCACTTACTGATAGGGCATGACTAACAATTTCTTATTAAACTATTGTATTTTAGATTCTGCTGAATCTATGGTAATAGTATGACTTTTTAGTAAATGTTGTTGTTAAATGCTGTTGAATCGGTTCCAATTCATAACAACTCTGCATATGGCTTCCAAGGTGGGTCTGAACGGCTGACTTGCAGTAGCAATCCAGTGTTTATTCTACAGTTCCATATTAAAAGGACTCCTTTTAATAAATAAGAAATATAATTTTGATTCTAGAATCACATGAGTATGGTTTAAGGCAAAGATGAAGATAAGAATAAAAAAATTCTGTTTACCTGAACTTGCCTGTCACTATAAAAATCATTGAAGTCTTCAGGGGATTTGAATCCACAAACAAATTAAATAGTAGCAGAGGGTTACTTTATGTATGCATACACATAAACATTTGGGGAGTAAGGTCTCTGGAAAAAAGATTTGAGTTGCCATGATATAGGAAAGATGACAATCTAGAGCATGAATTGGCAAACTGCAGCACATGGGCCAAATCTGGTCCGCAGTCTATAAATACAGTTTAGCTGGAACACAGTGAGGCTCATTTATTTACATACTTTCTATGGCGGCCTTTGTGCTACAATTGCAGGGTTGAGTAGCATAGCAGTGACAGAGACTATATTGTTCACAAAGCCTAAAATATTCACTATCTGGCCCTTCACAGAAAAAGATTATTAAGTTGATGTAGAGCAAATATGAATTACTGAGGGTAAAATATTGTATTGTTGTTGTTAAGTGCCATGGAGTCGGTTCCGACTCATAGCGACCCTGTACTGGGTTTCTGAGGCTGTAAATCTTTACGGGAGCAGAAAGCCTCAACTTTCTCCCGCGGAACAGCTGGTAGTTTCGAACTGCTGACCCTGAGGTTAGCAGCCTGATTCTTAACCATTATGCTACCAGAGCTCCTAAAATATGTATTAGGAAACAAACATTTAAGATACTAAAAGCTTACTGTCACAGGAATAAAGGTATATCAAAAAGAGATACAAAGCTGCTATGTAAAAATTTGTAAGTTGAAAACATGTTGTTGTTAGGTGCCATCGAGTCAGTATTGACTCATAGCGACCCTATGCACAGCAGAACGAAATACTGCCCAATCCTGGGCCAACCTCACTACTGTTGCCACACTTGAGTCCATCGATGCTGCCACTTGGCCAATCCATCTTGTGGGGGGTCTTCTTCTTTTTCTCTGACCCTCCACCTTACCAAACATGCCATTTGACAAAGACCCACACCTGAAAAAACACCATCTCTTACCTGATACTTTGGTGCATTGTTGCACTGTGGAAAACTGCCGTTGACTTCCCCATTATGTAGTAAGTTATTGTCCACCAGATTCCAGCCCCAGCTTTGGTCGTCGCTGCCCAACAATGCCACATAACCCTGGCACTGCATGGGAGCCCGTTTTGTAGCAATTCCAATCACTGCCACAGTGCCCAGAGGGCCTTCCCACCATACTTCCCATGCATGGCGGCCCTCACTGAACCCAATCTTGGTCCTTGCACCATCAGTACTCTGCGCAATGGGGTTTCGATGTAAAGTAAAGCCATTCTTCTTAATGTAGACATTCCTGGAGCAGTCGTTAGTGCTGAAGGCATGTTGGAAAGCACGTACCTGAAAAGATGAGAAACAGACCAAAGAAATAAACATCGAATTTTTCTTATGTCTGAAAATGCATTTATTATGGATTGAACTGTGTCCCCCTGAAATCTATGTTGTAAATCATAACCCCTATCTGCCTATGGCTGTAATTCCATTTGGGAATGGGTTTTCTTCGTTATGTTAATGAGAAAGGATGTGTTGGGTGTAATCTCTTTTGAGATATAAAAGAAATCAGCACGCAAAGAAGCAGAGATGGGGGAAAGAGATGCCAAGCTACATGAAGACTGCCTAAGAGCAGAAGCTCCAAAAAGATAAGAACATTCTCTCAGAGCCAATAGAGGGAGAAAGGCACCCTCCAGCCTCCTAACCTAAGAGGAAATGCATTTGTTTGCTAAAGCCACCTAGGCTTTATTTCTGTTGTAGCAGAACTTAGAGAAAAAAGACAATATCCCAAACCTAAAACTACATGCTTTTAAATAATAAAGTATGCATATTTAAATAATGTAAGAAGTTATATCTAAAAAATGGCTGAAGTTCCAGGTTGGGATACCTACATAATAAAATGTATAATACTAACAATAATTGTAAACTTGTTTCTTCATTATTTGACAAATATAGATATTTGTCAAGAGAGTAACAAGAATCTTGATCTTTTAGAGATAATATTAAAAGGTTTATAGTTGGAGTCCTGGTATGACGTTGTTGGTTAATGTGCTAGACTGCAAAGTTAGTTTGAACAGCAAGGTTGGTGGTTCAAGCTCACCAACTGCTACTCAGAAACCCTATACAGGGTAGCTATGAGTCAGACCATACTTGATGGCACTTAACAACAACAACAGTTGGTGGTTCAAACTTACCAACCGCTCCTCAGAAACCCTATACAGGGTAGCTATGAGTCAGACCATACTTGATGGCACTTAACAACAACAGTTGGTGGTTCAAACTTACCAACTGCTTCTCAGAAACCCTATACAGGGTAGCTATGAGTTACACCCTACTTGACGGCACTTAACAACAACAACAACAGATAACATAATGATGCCTGTGAATAGCTTGAAACAATTCAGGGGTGAAATGGGGCAGTAAAGGGGTAAACATGAAACTAAATTGGTCACAAAGTACTCATTTGTTAATGCTGGGTATAGAGTATCGTATTCGGAGGCTCAGTAAACTATTTCTTCACTTTTGTTTATGTTTGATGTATTTATATTTAAAAAGTTAACAATGAACAGTTTTTGTTAGCAATGCTGTCACTAAAAAGAATGATATTTTAAGTAAAATAGAAACCTTAGTCATAGCAGTTTTAAAGTTTATGAAAAATTTAGTAACCTCAAACTACCTTTAGCTTCTCAGCCTCCTTACTAAGTTATTACTCATCTACTGAGATAACATCATTCTCATTTTACCAAATCAAATAACCCCTAGATAACACCTACATTCAACCACTGGCATTTGTAGCGTCATCAAGAGAAGCTGCCAATGACAGGACAGATTACTTGACCCTTCAATAATTATAGGGACGTTTTACCCTTCTAAAATAAAGACAGTACATATAGTAATAATTTCTCATGTTTTAATAACTTAAAATTTTTGGTTTATATACTTACTCTAGTTAACTTGAAAAATCAATCCCAGAGTCACCGAATGTCAGCATTGGGAGGGACCTTAAAGATAACCTAGTCCAACACAGAGACAAGGACACAGACCTAAAAGTCAACAGCTAGTTAGTGCAAGAAGTCCACTAACCAGGGCTTTACTATTTCATTATTGCACTGCAGAACAGAGAGATTTTTAAAATATGTGCATGCTTTAGGTATCCCATGTTTTCATAAGGAAGCTTACTGTGTAAGTGAAGAGCTCCTAAACTTATTTCTAATCTCTTCCAATTATAATACAGACACTTTAAGGTATATGAAAGATCAAAACTACAAGATTAAATGGAGATAGATAATATTCCCCCAAATATTCAGTATTAAATTATATAACTCAAGAGAATATTATAAAGAGACTAACTCCTCATTATAAAATATTTAATGAATTCTTCCTCATGCCTATTCCCCAATTCTAATCAATTCCAATGATTTTTCTCTCATCTCTTCCTCAAACTGTACCTTCCTACTTCACTGAACTGCTCCTTCACTACATCCTTTTTGGTTATCATCCTACCTTTGCCCCTAACAATTCTTGAGACTAAATCCTTACCCTTCTACCTAAATTCTCTCTAAACAGGTCTTTCTAAAATAGCTACTACATCACATCTCAGTTCAGTAACCTTTGATGGTTCCATACTTTAAGTTCTTCTGCCTGGCTTTCAAAGCCCTCTAGATCTGGCTCCTCCTGTTCCCCCCCCTTCCTACCTTTGTGTAGTTCTCCTCCTTCGTATTATCACAGCTGCTTTGCTCATAGATTCTTTAAGACCAGCTCTAGTCCTACCACCTCCACAAAGCTATTGTTAACCAAGGTCATTGAATCCCCCTCATTTCTTTCTCCTGAATTCTTACCCGCCATAGTCTATTTGAAGGAGCTCTGGTAGTGTAGTGGTTACGAATCGGGCTGCGAGCCGCAAAATCAGCAGTTCAAAACTACCAGCTGTTCCGTGGAAGAAAGATGAGGCTTTCTGCTCCCATAAAGATTTACAGCCTCGGAAACCCTATTAAGGGATGCTATGAGTCAGAACCGACTCCACGGCACACAACAATAACAACAACAATAGTCTGTTTGAACTACAAGGTCAGCAGTTCAAGCTCACCAGCCGCTCCTTGGAAACCCTATACTGGGTCGCTATGAGCCGGAACCGACTCCACGGCACTTAACAATGAAAGTTTGCACCAAGGAGCTCTGGTAGCATAGTGGTTACGAGTAGGGCTGCTAACCCTCAAGGTCAGCAGTTTGAAACTACCAGCTGTTCTGCAGGAGAAAGATGAGGTTTTCTGCACCAGTAAAGATTTACAGCCTCGGAAACCCTATGCAGGGTCGCTATGAGTCAGAACCAACTCCATGATGGCACATAACCAACACCACCATAGTCTGTACCACACAACACTTAGCAGATCTTATTTTCTAACATGCCTAACTGCTTGATTCTAATTTAAATATTTTTTTTTAAATCTAATCTAATCTAAATTGATCAAATCTCTTCAGGAAATAGTGAGGAAAGAAGAACATGTTAAGTAATACTATGGGAATGAAATCAACAAAATCCAGATGGAACAAAATTCTAATAAGTAAACAATGTCCAGTAAGTAAATTACAGAGGTAGGGGAGATGGTGAATGAATGTGTAGACTAAAATAAGACTTAAAGAGACATATCAACTGTTAAAAATGGGAACCTTATACAGAACTGATTTTAAAAACTAAATTTATAAAGTTTTAAAAAAAACTTGGCATTTATGAGATAGGTGGAAATTTGTACACTGCATTTTTTATATTACGAAATGCCCACTTCTTTTCAAATGTGATAATGGTACTATATATATATTTTTAATATCCTTATATTTTAGAAATGGATACAGAAATTTTCAGATGAAATGGAAAAAGACATACATAAATTAATCAAAACCCATAGTTTCTGCCTCACAGTTCCATGTACAACCTATATAATAAAGCAAACATTTTTAAGACTGAGTTTAGGAGCCAAGTCTAAAATTTAGAGAATTATCGTTAGATTTCAAGTATGGCTGCATTTATTGGTGTTACTTGATGACATCTAAAATAACTTTTAGAAGGAAGATAGCTGCTGAATAGACCAACCAAATCCCAATACTTTCCAGTTTTATACTATTTCTAATTTGTTCCCATCCTTCTCTGTTACTCCCAGGCTCCCTGAAAATTCTATTGACTACTTCTTCCTTGTCTCACTTTTCCTGCCATTTGTCTACTTATGTGAACTTGTTCTCTGCAATAGTTCTAGCTACCTCCTTTTCCCCTCTACATTATCCCTGCTTCAATTCATTTTATGGCCCAATCTTTCCAAAGCACCGCTCTAATTTTGGCACTCGCTTGTTCAAATTTTGATGATTTCCGACTGTAGTACAGAGCCCAAATTATAGAATAAAAACTATATTACAAGGCCCTCCATGATGTGATTTGGTTCCAGTTTACCTTTGCAATCACATTTCTCACTTCTTCCCTTCAATTGACTCTTAACTGAACATTTTATATTGTGAGCCTGGACCACTCGCTCCCCTAAGCTCCAACCTGTAACCATTGCATTGTTGTTGTTAAGTGTTGTGGAGTCAGTTCTGGACTCATAATGACTCTGTATAGGGTTTCCAAGGAGCGACTGGTGAGTTTGAATCACCAACCTTGTGGTTCAAGCTGACTTTGCAATCCAGTGCTTATCCTTAGCACCACACTCAGACTCCAACCACTGCATACTTGAATGAAAATCTTAGATGTTTAAAGTATATATATATAAATTCTACTCTGTCTAAACTGAACTCATCACACCTCCAAAATCTAGCCCAGGTGATTCCTATTTTCTCATGCTTATTCAGATTCTGTATCACCAAGTTCTGGTCCTATAGATTTTACTTCCTAAATCTGTCCATTTTTCCCCTTCTCCACTAGTTACTTACTAATTGGTGAATTTATGTTTCTCAGGCCCCCCCTCCAAGCTGTTCTCCATACTACGTTGCTGTTAGTACCATCAGTCAGTTCTGACTCATAGTGACCCCTGTATAGGCTTTCCGAGGAGTGGCTGATGGGTGTGAACCACCACCCTTGCAGTTAGCAGTCCAGTGTTTATCCTACAGCACCATACTAGAACTCCATACTATAGCCAGAAATAACTTCTTAAATATACAAAACTAATCAGTGTACCACCAACCCCCACACTCCTAACCCCCATCTTCCTAAAATTCAAAATGGCTTTTCTGTAGTTTGGCTCCAGTCTACCTCTTCCAACTAATTTCAGACATGCTTCATCTGTGTTGTCTAGACTCCAGTCACACTGATCTGTTTCTGTTCTGTCATACACATCAGCTTCCGTCCTGAAAGGCTCTTCTCTCTTCCCTTGGTCGATTGCTCTTTCAGGTCTCACTTCAAGCATCATTTCCTTCAGAGAAAGCCTACCTAGGTCAAATTCTACATTACTGACACTCAGAGCAACCATGCATCTCTCCTTCATAGACGCAATTTGATTATAACTGTGTGATTACTGGATTAATACCTAGTTCCCCCCTAAACTGAAAGCTCCAGAGGTAAGACATCCACAAGCACTCATGTCTGTTTTATTTCCCATTGTATCAAGATCATACTGCCTGGCACATACTTTTATGAATAAAAACATGTGCTATACAAACCCTTTGCTTGTCTCTTGTCCTGCTTCTGTGCAGGGTACGTCCTCTTCCTAAAATGTTCAAATCCTCTTCATTTTTAAATAATTCAACTCAAATCCAACCTCAAACTCAAACCTTCTTAAATACCCAACTCAATTTTTAAGTCACTCATTTCATTGAACTTCTAGCAAATGTTTTTTATCCTTTCAAAGTCCTGTGTGGTGCTGTAGGATAAGCACTGGACTACACGGGCAATTTGAACCATTAGGTTGGTGGTTCAAACTATACAGGGTCGCTATGAGTAGGAACCAATTTGACGGCACTTAACAACCTCAACAAAAGTCCTATGTGGCAGTGGACTGCTAACCTCAAGGTCTGCGTTCAAACCCACTAACCATTTTCAGAAACCCTATACAAGTTCCCCATGAGTCGGAGCTGACTCAACAGCACATAACAACAACAACAGAGAGTCTTGATGGAATGCTTTAGGATAAGCACTGGACTGCTAACCGAGGGTTGGCAATTCAAACCCACCAGCCACTCTTTGGAAAATCTATTCAGGGCCACTATAAGTAGGAATGGATTTGGCAGCACTTCACAACAATAGTTTAAGAAAGGAACCTTGGTGGTGTAGTGGTTAAGTGCTTGGCTGCTAACTGAAAAGTTGGCAGTTTGAACCTACTAACTGCTTGGCAGGAGAAGAATGGGGCAGTCTGTTTCCATAGAGATTACAGCCCAGCCTTGGAGACACTAGAGCGCAGGTCTACTCTGCCCTATAGGGTCACTAGGAATTGGAATCAATCGACAACAATTGGTGTGGTTTGCGTTGGGTTAATTTAAGGAAGGAGTCCTTGGAGGTTATGTGCCGTGGAGTTAGTTAAGACTCATAGCAACCCTGTACAGGGTTTCTGAGTCTGTAAATCTTTACAGGAGCAGAAAGCCTCATCTTTCTCCCGCGGAACAGCTGGTAGTTTCAAACTGTTGACCTTAAGGTTCGCAGCCCGATTCGTAACCACTATGCTACCAGAGCTCCTTAAGGAAGGAGTCCTTAGGTGGTGCAAAAGGTTAAGTGACTGCTTCCAGAGGCACCTTGGAAGAAAGGTCTGGCTATCTACTTCCTAAAGGTCTGCCTGGAAAACCCTATGGAGTACATTTCTGCACTGTAACAGATGAGGACATCATAAATCAAAATCAAATAAATAGCAAGTTTTTTCTCTCTCTTAATTTCTATCATGTATTATACTTATTTTTATACATTTTTCTCTTCTACTAGACTAAGGACTCACCCGTGTAATTATTTGACTCATTCTGATTTAATCTTCATATTTCAAATGCTGCAACATCTGAATGAACATGCCATGAATAGAAGTCTGTAGTATCTACATAAGTCCTGGTGGCTCAACTGCTAACTCAAAGGCTGACTGTTCAAACCCACTAACAGGCTACACAGGAGAAAGTCTACCAATCTGCTCCTGTAAAAAAGCTGCTCCTAGACAACCCTATGGGGCAATTCTATTGTCACACGGGATAACTGAGTCAAAACCGACTCAATGGCACCTAACAATAACATGCCAAGTATTAAAAACTTCATAAACCAAAAACAAACTTTAGAAACCTAAAATATGTTTAGAAGGATATACAGGCAGTCCCCAAATAGTGAACAAGTTCTGTTCTCATGTCTGTCTTTAAGTCAAATTTGCACATAAATTGCAGCAGTCAGATAATGGCTCGTATCTAAAGTCGGCTAGCCAAATGTTTTGTCTCAGTAAATAGTATATACTGTACCTTTCTATGCATGAAAAACATTAAACACTTCCCGGTATACTAAAACATCTTTACCATAATACAGTAATGTTAATAATGTTTTATGTACTTCACAGAGTAGTGCCCACAAGTATGTCTGACATTAGTAAATGAATTTGATAACACAGATTGCCTCCAAGGAGGAGCAATGTTGAAAGGAAGACATTTTCCTGTATATCATTGTGTATCTTGAGTCATGTGAGCAAATGATATATTACAAATAATCAATTATGAAAGTTTCTTAAAGCCAATAAACTTGATGGAAAATAAAAAGCAAATAAAGCCTATGAAACCCATATGTCTATCAGGCAAAATAGGGTAAGCGTGTAATCTTCTGCACTCCACTAAAGAAATTACAACAAGCATCCATTCAGCATCTACCATAAACAAATATTATCCTAACAAAGCAGCATATCATTTCACTTAATATAAAAATAACTTGAGTTAATATGTTTAATAGCAATGTGTCTTATCATAGTTTACTAATCCCATTTTATTATAAAACATTAATTTTTCATCTATTTCACATGATTTTTTTTTTTACTTCTTACTCTGACTCCCATTAGCATTAAAAAGGGATTTACCCCCTTAAGTTAATAATGTATTTAGTTATTAATGGTTACCACATTCCAAGTTTCAGACTTAATCCTCTCTCCTACATGCTCTTGGTGAATACCACAGTGGAGAACTGTTATTGGACCAACTGAAACTATGCCTCAGCCATTTGTTTAAACTGTCTGGAGTATTCTCTTAGCCCCTACACCACAATCTGTTACTTGACATATCTACTCCCGTAAAGATTTACACCCTCGGAAAACCTGTACAGGGTCGCTATGGGTCGGAACCGACTCAACGGCACTTAACAACATATGAAAAAAGGTAGGAATAACCTCAAGAAATAAAGAAAATTAGAAATAACACGTTTGATGACAAATGGAACAGAAGAAACATCAAGGAGGGAACTAAGAAAAAGTTGGCAAAGGAAGTAGTCAATAATATTGGGGCAAGGCAATATTATGACATAAAGTGGTGCTGATGGGAGGGTGTTCTGTGGGTGCGTATATCTTGAAAGCTAGCAGGATGCCTAAGAACTCATTTGAAAGCTTGAAACATAGTGGATGAAATTAACAAGTATTTGGGTGGAAATAAAGAAACAATGGTTACAAAGGAAAAGATGTGGTGAAAGCAAAGATCTGAGAAACTACTATTAAGAGAGAAATAGGTAGCAGAAATGATTTAACAGGGTGTATTTGTAGGGCAGGAAAGAAAATGGGGTGATAATGTTAAAAGGCTCAACAATGGGAGCGGTAGGTCTTTAAGGGGAAAGACTGTGGAAAGTATAATGAGTAATGGGAAACCATCTGGTCCTAATAAGAGTAGATCACAAAAGTGGGGTGGGTTAAGGAGCAGAAGTTAACAGTCATACTGTGTACAATAATCCAAAGAGAAGATCTTTATGGAGGGGGTTGGAGAGGAGAGGTGAGGTAAGGTATTGACTGGAGCCTTGGAAAGGCGGGATGGGGAGACGAGACACGTCTGACTCAGAAGCTTAGATGAGAGCGGCGCCGTGGAACGGGACCGGGGGCAGCGTCGTGGCCCGGGGCTCCCTTACCTTGGCCTTGTAGCTGGGCAGGTTGCAAAGGATGTCCGTACGCAGAGCCTCTTCGGCCAGGCTGCGGGCGCACAGGCTCCGCCACACCTCGCTGTTTTCATCGCCGTGCAGGCAGCGGTACCAATGCTTGCACACCAGGGCGCAGCTCCGCAGTTCGGACAGCTCCAGGTAGGAAAACACCAACTCCAACACCCGGCTGGGCAGCCGGCCCCCGATCCCCGCGGACCCGGATCCCGATCCCGCGCCGACGCCGCTACAACCAGCGCCGCCGGAGGCTCCTCCAGCTCCCGGGGTCGGCGCCGCCATCGCCTCACCAGCCGGCCCGAAGGCCGCCGCCGCCGCGTTCCCCCGTCTCTGCTCGGGAGGCCAAGCCTCGCCTTGAGACCCGAGCAGCTAGCTCACCGCCCCTTTCACAGCCAACCGCCCGGCACCTCCACCACTCCCGCCCCTGCCCGGGGGCGCCCGCCGAGCGCTCCGCCTCACTGAGGGCAGACGCGCTGGCCGCACGGGCGTCCCCCGCCCCTCCCCCGATCCCAGGCTCAGGGAGGGCTCCGGAACCGCCCGACTCGCGTGGCCTCCCCGCGGCGCGCCCGTAGCTCCGCCATGCCGATTGAGGGCACGAAGCAAGGGCGCACGCCCTGCTCTCGCCCGGTTCCTCTTGGCCCCGGATGTGACTGTTAGGCTGAGGCGCTTCGCGCCCTACGATTGTTGGGATTGGGCGCCCCCGAGTGAAATCATCACAAGGCGCCGAGGAGGGGAGCTGGAAGAGCAGGTATGAGGCTGGCGCTGGTGGGTTGCTGGCCGCCCTCCAGTGCCTTTTCCTCTTTGCCCTAGTGGCTCCGCGTCAGCTGTCCTCGGCCCTGTTTCCTGCAAGATTTCTCTGTATCAGGTTCCTGTTTCAGATGCCAACCTAACGCTTGAAACCTCCCTTTATTCATGTTTGCCTACTGCTGGCTCTGCCACCTTCATCATAGCTTGGAGCTTCGTTCTTTACCTTCGGCAGTTGAGGCCGTATATTTCTGGTCAATCTCTCTTGTATCGATACTTCTTAGAACTTGTGTCCACCGGATATTTGGAAAATGGGGTGGCCACTAAGGAGATCTGGTAGCGTAGTGATTACGAATCGGGCTGCATGAATCGCAAGGTCAGCAGTTCGAAACTACCAGCTCTTCCGCAGGAGAAAGATGAGGGTTTCTGCTCCGGTAAAGATTTACAGCCTCGGAAACCCTGTATAGGGTCACTATGAGTCGAAACCGACTACATGGCACATAACCACCACCACCACATTTGCAAACCGCCCAGTCCCTAACGTATTGAAAATCATGTAGTTTTTCTAGATCCATCAATGTGGATAAGGCAATGTGGTTTTGTTCAATGAAGTATTCCAGTAGTAAGAAAGGTGTGGAGGCTATAATTATAAATGGCTTCACAGAAGGGAAAGAATTTCAGCATGATCTGGTTATGCTACAACTTCCTAAGTGGCCCAGAGACTTTTTCTGATAGTCTTTGAAAACTGCTTAGTAAGAGAATAGTAACTACAGTGTTATTATCAAGGGCCCTATGCAAGGCCCCTTACACAGTTTTTATGTAATTCTCAAGACAACCCTATGAGGTTAAGTAATTATAATAATAGGGTTCACAGACTCCTTTAGTAGTCAGCTCCAGTGTCTTGCAACTATTAGGTAGTAACAACTATTTCCTGAAACTCCTGTTGTATATAATCCACTTATGTTCTCTAACAAAAACAAGTACCTTTCTTATTCTGACAGATGTTGTTTGATTATGGCTGGTTTCTTTTTCCCAGATGTCATTTTCTTCTCCAAGCTCTCTATTTTTTCCTCCATTCTCAGTAACTGGATCCTTTTCATTCCTACTAATGTGTTGTGCTGGATGACTCTTTTATATGGCC